ACAAATAGTGTCTTTAACTTCCTGGGAGGGTTGACCAACATACTTGAGTAGTAGCTAGAAGAGATTATGGCCAGGATCACTAGTCATCACTTCCATGGGACTTCAAGAGAGTGGAAGAGCTGTTGTCTGCCAGGCTATTAATCTTTATAGAGACTCCCATATAACACTGACTTATTTAAGGCTTTGCCTCTTCTTTATAGAACAGTTCTCTCCACTAAGTAGAATTTTCTGTGATGATGAATATATTCTGTGTCTTCATTATCTAATATGGTAGCCACTAGCCACATGTAGCTCTTGAGCCCTTGAAATGTGGTTAATGTGACTGAGGGACTGAGTTTCTAATGTTATTTACTTTTCACTAATTTAAATTGAAATAACCATATATGGCTGGTGGCTAGTGTATTGAACAGTGCGGTTAGTATAGAAGATTACAACATTTAGAATATGTTATATTTAAAATACTATTTTGTGCCTTAATTTTTTTTAATATGCCCATGACTTATTTATTTTACAACTGGAAGTTTGTACCTTTGACTCCCTTAATTTCTTATTCTTAATGCCTTAATTTCTAATTCTTAAAAAGTAATGAGGGGCTTCCCTGGTGGCGCAGTGGTTGAGAATCCACCTGCCGACGCAGGGGACGCGGGTTCAGTGCCCCGGTCCGGGAAGATCCCACATGCCGCGGAGCGGCTGGGTCCGTGAACCATGGTCGCTTGAGCCTGTGCTCCGCAACGGGAGACGCCACAACAGTGAGAGGCCCGCGTACCACAAAAAAAAAAAAAAAAGTAATGAGTATTTCCAGTTATTTGGGTACGTTATGGGCTTAGAATAGTACCTCAAAAGCAATAGCAATGCCTTGACCAGTGAGTTGTCTGATTGTAAGAAAGTTATCTGTGCATGAGGGCATCAAAAGTTTTGAATTTCTATGAAATCTAATCTTTAAAGATCACTTTTTAGGAAGGATGTTGAGTTGAAGATGACACTTAGGAGACTTGTTCACTTGGTTTAAAACTTGGGTTTATACGTGTTTTAGTAAATCCACAAGTTGTAAAGAGAATCCCCCACGTCTTTATGTTGTTTTTCTTTCCATACAGTGTAAGATTGCTTTTGAACATATATTGATATATGGAAATTTCGAAGAATAAAGCATTGCTTGACCAGTGCCTTAAAAAAATTTTGCAAAAGATGAAAAAAATGAAGTTTCTCGGATTAGCTTGCGTTTTTTTTGTTTTTTATTATTTTATTTGTTTTTATTTTTTATTTATTTATGTAAATTTATTTATTTATTTTTGGCTGCATTGGGTCTTTGTCGCTGTGTGCGGGCTTTCTCTGGTTGCGGCGAGCAGGGGTTACTCTTCGTTGCGGTGCTTGGGCTTCTCATTGCGGTGCCTTCTCTTCTTGCGGAGCACAGGCTCTAGGCATGTGGGCTCAGTAGTTGCAGCACGCAGGCTCTAGAGAACAGGCTCAGTAGTTGTGGCGCACGGTCTTAGTTGCTCCGTGGCATGTGGGATCTTCCCAGACCGGGGCTCGAACCGTGTCCCCTGCATTGGCAGGCGATTCTTAACCATTGTGCCACCAGGGAAGTCCCAGAGATTTTTTGTTTTTTTAGCCTAAGGTTGCTTCTAAGTAGTTTTTTTTTTAATTGAAGTATAGCTGATTTACAGTGTTGTGTTAGTTTCAAGTGTACAGCAAAGTGATTCAGTTATGCATATGTGTATATATATATGAGGTTTTGAATTTTATTATTTCAGAAGGATCACCCATCTTAGTAAAGATGGATAATACATCTTAGGTATAAGGGTAATAAGGATTTTTAAATTTGTGAGTTTGATAAGATCAAGGAACAACAGACGGGACAGGTTTCTCTTATGTGTTTTAATGGTGTGTTCACTGGTATTCAGTATGTCATAACTACTAGTATGTCATAAAATGAAAGCTTCAGTCATATGAAACTGATTTTACATTTTAGAAAATAATATATTTTACATTTGTCCTTAAAGCTTTAAGGAAACTTACCCCTTAGATTTACTTATTAACCTCTGGTAGCCTTTGGTCATTTAGGGCTCATTTCATAGGTTTGTCTGTGGAAGTATTGTTACATAGTTATAAGTATATGTTTCAGATGGGCCATGAGACCTTCAACAATCATATTGAATCAGGTACAGATAAATGAACAGACTGTTCCAATCTGGGTAATTGGAAAAAAATCTCCAACTGGTAAGTGTTAGGCCACTTATGGAGAGAGAAAGATTAAGTCAGAGATTCATACCTTTGTACTTTGTAAGTATAGAATTATCTTACAGAATATTGATTATAGAAATTCACAAGAAGAGTGGAGAATGCTATGAACAGGTATTCAAGGATACCTTCTTACATAGCCACAAAAAAGAGGAGCATTAATAAATTTTAATGAAATGTACTTTATTGAGGTTAAAATCGCAAAGGTAAATGATTTTAAAGAGAGCTACATTATACAGACATATAAAAGCCACAACCACATGCACAGTGATTTCACAAAATTTGAATTAACTAGCTAGTAGTGTGCAGCAACTACTACAATGTCAATTTCCTTCCCGTAAAGTTCTCCTACCAATCAGTCTGCTTTGTAGTTTCTAATTCATCACATTGACTGTCAGCAGTGGAAAAGAGATTGTGGATATCAGCTATCATCCCACTTACTAAATGCTGTGTAGGAAAAAAAGAGCTCTTTCTGAGATATTAGCCCTGAGCCCTTCTGTGGCAGCTATCAGTGCTTTCCAGTGTTCTGGAAATTGGAACCAGCAGATCTGAGGTCAGAGCTCAGGTGGGTGAAGGAGATGCATGCGGATATGGTACTTGAATCACAAGATGTTACTTTTGTCAAGTGCAGAACATCCCAATCTAAGAATTTTAAATACTAATAATTTTTCCTAGGTTCTTTCCCTGTCTTGTGTTTACAAGAGAATTTTGCTTCTGTTATCCTAAAACAGTGGTTCTTAACCTTTTTTGGGTCCGTTATCCTTTTGAAAATCTGATGAAAGCTTTGGACTTTCTTGTCTGTAATTTTACACACAGTTTCAGAAGGTTAACAGGAACTACTGGTTAGAACCTGTGCCCTAGTTTCATTACCATTATCTCCATTCTCACTGCAGTTAACTTCATTTTGAATTTACGTTGGTGTTAAGACATTCCTCATTTCTTTCTATTTAAATTAACTTTGTTAGTCTTGGTTTCTCCTTTCTGCCCATCTGTGGCGTCTGACTTACCTTAAAAACAAGAGAGATCTAGAAAAATGATACAGATGAACTTATTTGCAAAGCAGAAATAGAGACACAGAGGTAGAGAACAGACATATCGGGGCAGGGGGATTGGGATGAATTGGGATATTGGGATTGACATATATGTACTACTATGTATAAAATAGGTAACTAATGAGAACCTACTGTAGCTCAGGGAACTCTACTCAGTGCTCTGTGGTGACCTAAATGGGAAGGAAATCCAAAAAAGAGGGGATATATGTATACGTATAGCTGATTCACTTTGCTGTGCAACAGAAACTAACACAACATTGTAAAGCAGCTGTACTCCAATAAAAATTTAAGAAACAAAAACAGGGCTTCCCTGGTGGCTCAGTGGTTGAGAGTCCGCCTGCCGATGCAGGGGACATGGGTTCGTGCCCGGGTCCGGGAAGATCCCACATGCTGCGGAGCGGCTGGGCCCGTGAGCCATGGCCACTGAGCCTGCGCGTCCAGAGCCTGTGCTCCGCAATGGGAGAGGCCACAGCAGTGAGAGGCCTGCGTACCGCAAAAAAAAAAAGGGAATAAGAGATTAATGTTGTAAGGGTCTAGAATTGTGTATTCAGGACACTCAGTAGGTTTTTTCCCCCACCTTAGATTCTTTTTTTTTTTTTTCCTCAACCTTTTTTAATTTTTAAAAATCAGTGTTTTAGCAGGGGATAATTTGTAATTTATATTAATTCCAAACATGATTTCTGGGATTTGTTTGTTTATTTTTGCCTAAGTTTGTTGGTTTGTTTTACTTTTGAGTAGAATTAACCTGGACTCTTAAACAACTGATTGATGATGAACCTCACACTTCTAAAGATTTTCTGGTAGATTCTAGACTAGGTGCTTTGGTTAATTCATTAATGATTTCTGTTCTTTTCCTGTAAGGCACAATCTGTTCTTTCTGTAGGGTTATTAACTTAGTAGCTATAGAGCAGCATTTTTTTTAGTTATTCTCAGATACAAGCAAGATGCTTTGGAAAATGGAGTGTTACATGAGCAAATATTGCTTTTATGGCGACCTCTTTGAGATTCACAATGCTTAGTGGCATATTAAAGGTTCTGAGGATTCCTGCAGTAAAAATATGTGCTTATTAATTCACTGTTTTCTAAACTTTTTAAACCTTGAACCCCTTTTTCCCAAACTTTAATGTCCCAAGAAGCTAGTCATTACTCTAGGAGATACAGTTTGGGGAAGTGCTAGACTATTGTTTAGTGCTTTGTGTTTTTAAACTGTTCCTATTGTCTGTTTCCTAGTTTTACAGTTCTTTAATAGAGTAGAAGTACATGAAAATTCTCTCCAGTAGGATGTTTTAAGGGTGGGTCACTTCCAGCAGCGCTGCCCTTAATGTATGATTCTAATCTGCTTGAAGATAATACATTCTAGATTAGTAAAATAAGATGGTTTATTTTCTGCTTTTCTTACTAAAAATATTTCTCAAGGGTACTTTAGCCACTTGGTCTAGGTAAGGTTGGTTGGGTTCATTCTGTAGTTTAATTTTATAGATTAACGTTTTCTTATATCTGTCATGACTTGAGCATATATTTAATATAAAGCCATTGGAATCTGAGGTGGGGCATGAATCATTTAAATTCAACAAGCATTAGTAAAATTTTTCTTTAGGTTTTTACTAAGCAATGACAGACTGTAATTCATTACTAAGCACTCATTGAAAATTCCTGGACAGGATCCAAATAATCTTGATTTTTTTCCCCCTCTTTCTAATCTCATTTTAGCTGCATTGGGTGTTCAGCAGCCATCACTCCTTGGAGCATCTCCTACCATTTACACACAGCAAACTGCATTGGCAGCAGCAGGCCTTACTACACAAACCCCAGCAAACTATCAGTTAACTCAAACTGCAGCATTGCAGCAACAAGCTGCAGCTGCAGCAGCAGCATTGCAACAGGTGAATCTTTAATAGGTTTTAATATGTGACATGCAGAACTTTCAAATCTGAGTAGCTAGGGTAGGTACCTTCACATTTTAAAGAATGAATAGTTGTGGGGTTCTATTATGCTTATTGTTTTATTCTGGTGATAAAAATTCTTTATGCCCAGGACATACAGAGAGATGTAGTTGCATAGTCAAAATTCTTAAGTTCTTGTATCTTAATTATTTGAGTAAAATTCCATTCTTGATGAATCCCAAAGTATAAGTAATCATTATTTTGTTTATTTTAGATGAAGTGTAGATGTTCCAGAAAATTTCTTTTTAGTTTAATTCTGGTTATGTATTTGAATGTATATATATATGTATATGGCTTTTTGAGAATGACTAAAACTAATGTCCATATTTTTCTTTAAAAAATCTTTTTTCCAGCAATATTCACAACCTCAGCAGGCCTTGTATAGTGTGCAACAACAGGTTAGTTTATATTTTCCATGTTAAAAACTGATTTTTAAAAAGTCATTTGTTCCAACTGAATTTTTGTAGATTTTATTTCCCATCAGTAACCTTAATGTGTGATTTGAATTCTTTTGGGGTGGAGGAAATGGGGTAGGTAAAACGGAATGTCTCCAAGGGAGAGGAGGACAGGAGAGAGGTCCTGAAGACTCAAATCCTCATCTAGTAGCCAGTCCTTGTCACATGTTTCTAAGAAAGCATGCAGAAGAATCTGGAAAGAATCACTCTATTAATGAGTCTTTGGCCTAGTACTCTTATTTGAAACCTCTAGCCCTACTGTGCTCTACTGGACCACATGTGAAAATGAAAAGCTCCTTTTTCCCATTTGAAGCTAAACCGTAGACAGACCTTTGGCTTTCAGCCTGTATTTATTTAAAACAATGGAACCCTGCCTTTTTTTCCCCTAATGAAATTGTGTATTGAAACCTAATATATAAAATATAAAAATAGTGTTGAAAATGGGAGGAAGCCTCCCCTTGTAGTTCTCACCCCTATTCCCAAGGCACATTTGAACAATTTGAAAACTCCTTACTTAGACTAAAAGTTTCTTTGGCTCCTTTTCCCTAAGCTTATACTCTAATCATATTCTTCAAGGGTTATTATATCTGAGATGGTAGAAAGAGGTAACAAAGTGAACCCAAGGAGAAGCATATCAAGCAAAGAAGAGTTTGACTTGCTCAAATCTAGATGGGTTCCAGTCTAAGCACCCATTCTAGGTTTTCCAAGGTTAAGAGGTAGTCTTTGTCCCTTCCCAGTGCCATTAAGGAAGCTTCAGGAAAGTATAGCAGTCAGGAGAGGAAAAGGGGATACAAGAGACAAGGACCAAAAACTTGGATCCAGAGACACTGTGGAGAAACAAGAGGCTTCTCAATCCATTAACACTTGTCCCTAGATCCATGCCCCAATTTCATCCTTGCCTGTTAGGTTTCAGAAGCATTTCATTTGCCCTGAAGATTATAGTATCCCACTAATAATTGCTTTAAACTTCTAAAAAATTGATAAGAGATTGGGGTCCAAGTTGGCTATCTTGTTTTCAGATACCTTTAGACTTATTTTAGTACTGTTAGGAAATACATTATTAAAGCCTGTGTTTTATTTTGAACCACATGAAAATGGCAATACTCAAATGTTCTTGCCCTAAAAAAATGCCATTATTCATCCATTCTTAACTTACAGAAAAATGGAAATTTGATAGATTTAACCTTTAATACATGTCGACCTAGGTAAACAGTGTTTTGAATTAGAATGTCATATAGATTGTTTTCTCCTAGCTTATTTTTAAGTCTGACAAAGATTTATTGGGAAGCTTATTAGTCATAGTAAATAAGAAGTCATGAACAGAAGAACTGTGATCTTCAGATTCTGCCATTGGGCTTAAAACACTAGTTAGAAGCTAATAAGCATTAAGGATGTCTCAAGGGAAATCTTACCTAAGTCCAAATCTTACCCTGACCAGGATATCCACAAACACAGAAATGACGCCCATGTTCTCAGACTGCTTACCTGGGCAGTAGGAAAAAAGACCTTTTCCTCAAGCTATTAAGCATCATCAGGAGATTCCTGCTCTTCTAGCTGTAACCATGGGACACTAGTGCATGATAGACAACTCCAAGCTGGGCAGCTTGAAAAGAATGCTGAAGGATGACAGGGAGCAAGCAGGGATAAGTATTTCTTTGGAGACCCTCCTGATGGTTAATACAGACACAGTCCTGAGGCTTCAGAAAGTTTACTTCTGTTCCAGAGTTTTAAAATTTCCCCCTTCCCACCAATTCCTTTTGCTTTCTGGTAATGTTATACTTTGCTATTGCCAGAGAAACTATGTCAGGGTGTATGGTCCTTTATGGTCCCCATACCTTGGGCAAGTCTGACTGTAAGGACTGCTTCTCATATTAGAGGGATATATATGAATTGGACAGTGAGTAATATTTTTGATACAGGTAGCTTACGGATGATATTGAATCATTTCTGTAGCATGGTAATTAATATGGGGCAGAAGTAGAAATTTACCCCTCTAGGGACTTGTGGGGTTTTTTGGTGGGTGTTATTCCTCTGAAATAACAAAAAAAAAAATTCTTTATCATTATTGAATGAGTTAGTTATATTTAAAGTCTGCAGTTGTTAAAAATAGTTGTAGGAAACCTTATACCTAATGATCTCTGTTACTTTTCACATATTTCTTAATTAGAAATAAAATACTTATTTAATAGGAATTTTTCCTTTTGTAAAACATCTGTGAAACAGCAGTTCTGATTGATTCTTTTATCTTTACTGCTTTTGTTTGTTTTTCCTGTTTTTAGTTGCAGCAACCTCAGCAGACCCTGTTAACACAGGTTAGTTTGGCATTACTTTATTTCTTATGAATATCTGAATGAAAAGTAGACCAAAGTTTTATTCCTGTTCTAGGTTTTCTTTCAGGGTTGTTTTTTTTTTTTTTTTTTTTAATATATTTATTTATTTATTTATCTGGCTGTGCCGGGTCTTAGTTGCGGCATGCCGCGTGCGGAATCTTCGTTGTGACATGAGGGATCTTTACTTGCAGCACGTGGTCTCTTAGTTGTGGCATATGGGATCTAGTTTTCTAACCAGAGATCGAACCCTGGGCCCCCTTCATTGGGAGCGCAGAGTCTTAACCACTGGACCACCAGGGAACTCCCTCTTTCAAGGTTTAAAGATGAATATTTGTTGGATTCATGTAATAGTTTTAGCAATATAATGTTAAATAAAGATGGAAAACATGTTTTTGTTTTTTCTTTTATGCTGTTTGATTGCTGTTCCTGCTGTGATCTAGTTTGAATAAATATGAGGTCTTATTTTAAATTTAATACTGATTTTGGCTTTTACATTTTCTTTGTAGCTAGTATTTTTAAGAATGTTTTTGTACATGTTATATCTTTTTTACTTTGACCTTAGGAGGTGAGTTATTGTGTTGCATTATCAGCTTGATTTTTCAGCAACATTAAAAAGTTTGTCAACTTTCGATATGTAATGCTACTTTAGGCTTTGTGGACCACTTACAGTCTATGTTGCTTTTTTTTTTTTCTTTTTAAACAATTCTTTAAAAGTGTAAAAACTGGGAATTCCCTGGTACTCCAGTGGTTAGGACTCTGTGCTTTCACTGCCAAGGGCCTGGGTTCGATCCCTGGTCGGGGGACTAAGATCCCGCAAGCCACACGCCGCAACCTAAAAAGAAAAAAAAAAGTGTAAAAACGACCCTTGGCTTGTAAGTTTGTGTAAAGATGATAAACTGTGGGCTGGATTTGGCCCGTGGGTTGTGGTTCACTGACCCCTGGTGTATGCAACTGTTAAAAAGAAAGCAGAACTTCTAATAGTAACTGGAGACAGTGATTGCCCCATGGATAGGGAACTAGGTAGCTAAGGAACAGGAATAGGTGAAAAGCTTTTTACTGTATAACCTTTTGTACCTGTATAGTCTTGAACCTGTTAGTTACTTTAAAAAAATAAAGTATACTTCAGTTGAGAAATAAACCTCACTTTGTATTTATTAAAGAACTAAAATTGGGACTTCGCTGGTGGTCCAGTGGTTAAGACTCTGCTTCCACTGCAAGGGGTGTGAGTTTGATCCCTGGTCAGGGAGCTAAGATCCCACATGCTGCACAACCAAAAAAAAAAAAAGAACTAAAATTGATGAACACCTACGTCCTATTTTCAATCTCCAATAGTAGGATTTTCAGACTGAATAGAAAAGCTGTAAAAGTTAGTCTTTGCTTAGAATAACACTTCCCAAAGTGTGCCCATAAAGCATTAGTGTCTTGTCTTATTATGTTAAAGAAACTTTGTGAGAAAATTTTGTGGCTACAGTTTAAGAAATGCTGAGTTCCTTTAATATATATATAGGACTTAACTTTTTTTTTTAATTGTAGAACTTAGAGACTTGCTTTATTGGGCAGGTGTAAAACGAATTATGGAATTCATTTGAGTTGAAGAATCAGATGATCCTTTCTTTTTAATGGTTTTATTTCTGTTACATACAGAAGTTTCAATCAGTAATATGTTGTTATTCATGTTTGATTATGTCAGAAGAGACCAATGAAAGTGTTACCTTTCCTCCCAGTTTGAGATATAATTGACATATAACATTGTATTAGTATAAGGTGTACAGCATGATTTAATAATACATATATATTGTGAGATGATTTCCACAGTCAGTTTAGTTAACGTGCATCACCTCTTGTAAGTGAATTTCTTTTTTCTTCTGATGAGAACTTTCAAGATCTACTCTCTTAGCAAGTTTCAAATGTAGGATACAGTATTGTTAACCGTAATCACCATCCTGTACGTTACATCCCCACTGGAAGTTTGTACTTTTCAACCACCTTCACCCATTTCCCCCACCACACCCCCTCCTCTGGCAGCCACCAATCTGTTTTCTGTTTTTATGAATTCTTTGTTTTTTTTAGGATCCACATATAAGTGAGATCATATATATATTTGTCTTTCTCTGACTTATTTCAATTATCTAGGACTTTCCTGAGTCTTTGTTATGCCATTATGGATTTTGAATTTCTAAGAGGGGGCTAGAGTATGCGGTGTTTTTTTAACTCATTGCACTGTGGTGACTTTTTCCTGAAACGTCCTGGGGAAACTTTCATCTGAGGGAACTTAATCAGGAAATCGATCAAAAATAACGTAATTTTTCAGACTTGATTTTCATCTTCAAGGTGTACGTATGTGTTTTCTAACTTCAAATTGTTTTTAGCATTTTGAGCTATTTTTAACTAGTTTTAAGTTCTAGACTGCTTCATATCATTACCTTAATTTGGTGTTGATTTTGTTTTATAGCCGGCTGTTGGACTGCCTACAAGCCTTAGCTTGTCAACTCCTCAACCAGCAGCTCAGATAACTGTATCATATCCAACACCAAGGTCCAGTCAGCAACAGACACAACCACAGAAACAGCGTGTTTTTACAGGGGTGGTTACAAAACTACACGATACATTTGGATTTGTGGATGAAGATGTATTCTTTCAGCTTAGGTAAACTTCATTAGGTGTTGACAAATGCCTTCTTGTATTTAGCATTAAGTATATTGATAAGACACCTACTTAACTGTGGCATGGAATTATGGTTTAGCTCTAATTTTCTGCTTTAATCATTCAACCTGTACCTGTGACTTTTTTTTTAATTAATTAATTAATTTAGGCTGCATTGGGTCTTCGTTGCTGCACATGGGCTTTCTCTAGTTGTGGCGAGCAGGGGGCTACTCTTCGTTGTGGTGCGTGGGCTTCTCATTGCGGTGGCTTCTCTTGGTGTGGAGCACAGGCTCTAGGCACACGGGCTCAGTAGTTGTGGCTCGCGGGCTCTAGAGCGCAGGCTCAGTAGCTGTGGCGCACGGGCTTAGTTGCTCTGTGGCATGTGGGATCTTCCCAGACCAGGGCTCAAACCCATGTCCCCTGCACTGGCAGGCAGATTCTTAACCACTGTGCGAGCAGGGAAAGTCCCCTGTGACATTTTTTGATGGAGAATGTGACTGAAGATATCTTTTTATCATTGAACAAAGTAGTCATCATGAATTCTTTATAAATGTTTTGTAGGAGTGAGTTTACATTTCTAGCTATTCATGAGCAGACTTACAGTGAGATTAAAAATTGAAGGGGTTGGGCTTCCCTGGTGGCGCAGTGGTTGGGGGTCCGCCTGCCGGTTGAGGGGA